TCATCTAGTGCGGCATCTAGTATAGACTCAATAATATATTTGCTAACTTTTTGCCTATTCATCCATTCACCCAAATACACCCATAAAGCAACACAATAGAGATATTGTGAACTACAGAAAAATGTTTCTTTTGCAAATTTTAGTTGCGAAGATACTTTTTTCCTTCAAATGGTTGTCATTAGGACAAATCTATGTTCACTTTTTGGAAGGTCATCATATATTATTTTTTGTTGTAGTGTAAGCACACATTTAAGACCAAATAAATCTATCTTGCAATCATGGGGCACATAGACACTATGGTTTTGTACATTTGTCTAATTGCATCATAGTATATACTCTATTTCTAGTTCCAGCATTATCTTTTTTTTCTTTTTTTGAGATGGAGTCTTGCTCTGTTGCCCAGCTGGAGTGCAGTGGCATGATTTTGGCTCACTGCAACTTCTGCCTCCCAGGTTCAAGTGATTCTCCTGCCTCAGCCTCTCAAGTAGCTGGGATTACAGGCATCCACCAACACGCCCAGCTAATTTTTTGTATTTTTAGTAGAGACAGGGTTTCACTATGTTGGCCAGGCTGGTGTCAAACTCCTGACCTCAAGTGATCTGCCCACCCTAGCCTCCCAAAGTGCTAGGATTACAGGCATGAGCCACTTAGCCTCCCAAAGTGCTAAGATTACAGGCGTGAGTTCCAGCATTACTTTATCACACATTAGATAATTACTTGTATAAAAGCTCAGGCTCAATAATAAAGTCTATAGATACTGTACAATAGGCCCCATTGTATCTGCAGGTTCTATATCCACAGATTCAACCAATCATGGACTGAAAATTAAAAAAAAAAATAAATAAAAGGTAACATTATATCAATTTTAAAAATTTCAAAGATAACAATAATACAATATAACCACTATTTATAAAGCATTACATTGCACTAGGTGTTACAAGTAGAGATGATTTAAAATGCTTGAGAACATGTATGTAGGTTATATGCAAACAGCATGCCATTTTATATAACGGAGTTGAGCAACCATGGATTTTGTTATCTGTGGGGGTCCTGGAATTAATCTCCTGCAGATACCAAGGGACAACTGTTTTCTAGAAGAAAGATAAGGTAGAGAATATCTTTTTATTTTATTTTTTTAGAAACAGGGTCTTGCTCTGTAACCATGTGATCATAGCTCGCTGCGCCTCAAACTCCTGGAGGTTCAAGGCATCCTTCTGCTTTAGCCTTCTGAGTAGCTGGGACTACATGCATGCACCACTGTCCTTGGCTAATTTTTTTTTTTTTTTTTTTTTTTTTTTGAGACAGGGTCTTGCTATGTTGCTCAGGCTAGTCTTGAACTCCTGCACTCAAGTGATTCTCCGATATCAGTCTTCCAAAGTGCTAGAATTACGGCATGAGCCACTGTACTCAGCCCTGGCTAATTTGCTTATTTTTTATTTTTTGTACAAGCAGGGTGTCGCTGTGTTACCCAGGCTGGTCTTAAAACTCTAGCCTCAATTGATTCTCACACCTTGGTCTTCCAAAGTGTTGGGGTTACAGGTGTGAGTCACTGTGCCAGGATGGGGAGATCTTAAAGAAAGGGCTGCAGTTGGGAATCTTGGGTTCTACTTGTGGTTGTCACTCTCTCTTATTAGACTTCTAATGAGGCATGTAACTTCAGTTTCTCTATGCCTTATTATTATTATACACTTAGAACTGGTGTGATGTGATCTCTCAATAATACTGTAACACTTAATTGGTATCTATAACAAAATTTGAAATACATAGATGTTTCTACAGAAATGCAAAGTACTCAGCTTATCGGTGTTTCTTTTTGTGTGCTGACTAAATTTAATATTAAATTTGTAGTAACATTTAATTTTAATTTTGATTTCTTTACCTACTTCCTAGTGAAACACAGGAACACCTAAAACATTAAGAAACAAAAACAGGCTAGCTGCAGTGGCTCACGCCTTTAATCCCAGCACTTTGGGAGGCCAAGGTAGGTGAATCACTTGAAGTCAAGAGTTTGAGACTAGCCTGGCCAACATGGTAAAACCCCGCCTCCACTAAAAATACAAAAAATTAGCTGGGCATGGTGGCACATACCAGTAATCTCAGCTACTCAGAGGTCAAGACAGGAGAATCGCTTGAACCTGGGAGGCGGATCACACCACTGCACTCCAGCCTGGGTGACAGAACAAGACTTTGTCTAAAAAAAAAAAAAAGTGCTGCATTAAAACGTAATTTTATAAACAAAATGACAAAAAGCAATTTCTTCACATTTGATTTTAGAGACAATTACTTATATACACGAAGTTTTGGTCAGGTACCCTGTAGGGGACCAAACCAAATCCCACCTTGCCTGGATCTACCTAGTTTAGGTACTGAAAATTCCATGTCCCAGGAAACCCCTGTCCTGAGCCAACTGGTAGAGTTGATACAATTGGCTTTTCCATAGCTTACAGTTTTATTATCTGCCATTAGAAAAATTCCAGTGCTAGCCAGGTGTAGTGGCCCACGCGTGTAATCCCAGTACTTCAGGAGGCCAAGGTGAGCAAATCACGAGATCAGGAGTTCAACACCAGCCTGGTCAACATAGTGAAACCCTGTCTCCATTAAAAATACA